ATGCGTTGGGAGACGCGGTGTCTGTGGATGACAGGTAACGGTCAGGCCGTGGCCCTCAAGTCCCGACCCTGGAGGTGGGGCCCTGGAACTGACTGGACCTGCCAAAGCCCACGTTGTCTCACGTGACCATTTATGCCTGCTTTTCCCGCCTCTTGTTTGCACAGGCTGTTCCCTTGGCTTAGGTCTGGTGAACAATTCCTACCATGCATCAAAGCCCTAGTTCTTTCTTATTAATTCGCTAGAGGCCCAGTGCACGAATTCATGCACGGGTGGGGTCCCTCTGGGTGGCCTGCAGGGATTGGGCTGAAACCCGCAGTCCAACACCGCCTGCAGCTCCTACCTGCTGCTCCCGCTCATCCAGGCCCCACTGTGCCTGCTGCGGGTTGGTGCCCAATCAGTCCGATCGATAGGGAGAGGTTTGCGCTGCTGCAGCAGCAGCACTTACCAGCCCTGCATTTGGCGCCCTTCTGAGGGGAGTGGCCTATGGGATTGGCTGAAACCAGCTCTCAGACATCCCCCAAGAGGTCCCAGATTGTGAGAGGGTGCAGATCAGGCTGAGGGACCCCACCGGTGCATGATCGAGCCTGGGAGGGACCAGAGGAGGGTTCTAGGGCGCGTCTGGCCTATCTTGCTCAGTCCGATTGGCCAGACTCCAGCAGTAACCTAACCTACTGGTCAGAGCATCTGCCCCCTGGTCGACCGGTTGACTGCCTGCCCCGTGGTGGTCAGTGCATGTCATAGCGAGCGGTTGAGCAGCCTTAGCATATCATTAGCATATCAGGCTTTAATTGGTTGTTCAGTTGTTCTGCCGTTCTATTTGCACATTACCCTTTTATTATATAGGATTTTTTTTTGAGAGAGAGAGAGAGAGAGAGAAACATTGATGTGAGAGCAAAACATCAATTAGCTCCCTCCTGCATGCCCCCTACTGGGGATTGAGCCTGCAACCCAGGCATGTGCCCTGACTGGGAATTGAACTGCAATCTTTCAGTGTACCAAACAACATCCAACCAACTGAGCCACACCAGCCAGGGCCAAAGCCCTAGCTCTTATTCACCCACTTCTCATCTGATGACTCATTACTCACTGGGCTAAAGATACCCATTCACAGTCCATCTGTCCACTGGTCCACAGAGTTATCCAACAAGGGCCCTCCACTCCCAGGCCTCAGCCCCAGGGGATGCTTGGTCTTAGGAAGGCAGAGATGACACAGATAACCACTGTCCACGAGGTCAGGGGGGGCCAGAGAGAAAGAAGTAGTAGGGGTTCCCAGGGGGCAAGGAGGGCTTCCTGGAGGAGTAGATCTGTGGTCCTCCAGGAGGCCTTCCCCGCTTCTCCTCAGCCTCTCTCAGAGCTGGGGGCCCTCACTCCTTTCCCACACGAAAACGAGCTTATCATGCCCTTTCGGGCTCACATACCCTCTGTGTTTCCCTACTGCCCACCAATTTAGCCCAGCTCTTAGGCCTGATCCATCCTCCAATGTCATTCCTCTTCCCATCTCTGCCCGCTCCCTCCTCCCCAGGTGGTCCTGGGTGCACCCACCTGCCAGGGCATCAGAAGCGGGGCTGCGGGAGGGCATAGTGGGGCTGGGGGAAAGGCTGTGGGTGGGTGAGCCTGGGAGGCTCTCGCTGGACGACAAGGAGTGGTGGAGGCCGGACGAGAAGCTGCGGCTTGTGTGCAACACCGACGACTGTTTCGAGATCTTCTTGAAGAGCGACTTCCGCCTGCGGGTGAAAACCCCAGGTGCTCAGGTACCCCTGCCCTCGGCGGGAGCTTCCTGATTGCTACCCCAACACCTTGATGGAACGGGTCCCCAGGGCTGTGGTCCGAAGGGTGATCTTGTTGCTGCTCTGCAGGAACGATGGCAAGAGGTCTTCTGTGTGCCTCCATCCCATGAGCACCCCACCCACTCATCTCCTATTCATCCTTCAAAGTCTCAGATCCTATCCAGCCCCGTCTCGCCTAACGATCTACCCTTCACTGGGCCCAAATACATGCCCACTGTCTGTGCCCATCCTATGAGCTGTCCATCCATACGCTGGTTCCAGGAGCTACTCAACCTGGGGCCTACCTCCTCCCATGTCCCCACCCCAGGCCTGAGCCCCTGAGGACCTCTGTCTGGTGGAGGCAGAGATGGCATAGACCCCACGGGATCGGGAAGGGCTTCCGGGGGGAGGGGCTCTGGGGGGATATTAGAAGCCCAAGAAGGAAGCACATTCTAGTCCGAGGGGAGGGCGAGTGCAAGGCCTGGACTAGGGAAGAGCCGTGTGGGTAGAGGGGAGACGCAGGGAGAATCAGTAGTGAGGCCAAGGGGTGGTGGGGACACTGGGAGCCCAGAGGGAGGACAGCGGTGGGGGTGGCACCTTCAGCAGCAGCTCCACGACGTCCATGTGGACCAGCCCCAGGACCGACTCCCCATTGACGTGGGTGATGAGGTCTCCGGCTCGCAGGCCCGCCTGGTGGGCAGGACTCCCCTCCTCCACGCTCTGGGGGGAGACGACAGGGTCAGCAGTCCCACAGCCGGAGACACCCGCAAGCTGCTGCCTCTCACGCTGCCTCAGTTTCCCTGACCTTGTGGAGAAGGGATGTGCCAAGCCCTGGACTGGGGGGAGGGAGGACAACCCGCCCACTGTGCACTTGCTGCAGGAGCCGTTAGCTTCATGCTCACCGAGGGTCTCTGTCTCCCTGTCCAGCCCTGTCCTTCTTGCCCAACCCTCTCCCTGTAACTGACAGGGACGGCAAAGGCCCAGGAGGCACCAGCTCAGACTAGAGAGCGCACCATGCCAGGGCACAGCCAGCCCCAAACAGAGTCAAGCTGTCCCCCCACCCCCACCCCCATGGCAACTCACCCAGACAACATGGTGCACAGTGTAGACATCACTGTCGCCCATGTAGACACGGATGGCCCGCAGGCTGAAGCCGTACTTCTTGCCAGAGCAGTGGATGACAATGGGGGGCCGCAGGCTGCCACACACAGGGGATGGGTCCCGGCTGGGAGAGGAGTCACGAGATGACGGGTTCGAGGACAGTGAGCGTGGGGATAGGGGGCTCATAAGGGGGCCGCCGCTGCCATCATCTGCAGGGACGAGGGTTAGGGTGTGGGTCACTCCCTCCTGGCACCCCCTAAGGGAGCCTTCCCCTCCCACCACGCTGACCACGCCGGCTGCTTCACTGCTGCTCCAATGTCCCAATGCCAGGCCTTTGCACATGCAGTGCCCTCTGCCAGGAAGGCCAGTCTAGGTCTCCCTGGTTCTAACCCCCTCTCCTGGGGCGTAGGCCAAACATCACCCCGAAGGACCCTCCAGCTCCCGACACCCCAGCCAGAGAAGACCCCTCCCCATGATTAAAACGGAGATAGACAGACAAGCAAAGACAAGGTGGGGCCATGGACATTACCGGCCGTGATGATCAGCGACAGGGCGGACACTGAGGCTGACTTGGGCATGCAGCCCCCGCTGGAGGCGGCCCTGGACTTCTCAGGGGCCAGGTCTTTAGGGCCCCTGAGGCGGTGGCCCCGGCTGGCGTCCAGGGCCCGTGGCGTGGAGTGTCGGGCACCAGTGCTGTTGCTCCGTAGGCGCGTCTGACCGAGGGCAGTGGGGTCGGCTGGGAGGGTAGCAGGGTGAGCGGGTCAAGGTTGACAGACGTGGACACGGTGCAGCCTCCTGGCTTTTGCTCAGGCAGTTCCCTCTCCCTGTGCACCTTCCTGCATTCCTCTCCCTAGAACGCTCCACTCTTCAAGCTCCCCCTTCCCGGAAGCCTCTCCCCCACTCATCTGACCCCAGCTCCCCGTCTTGGAGCCCCCTAGCCCCGTCCCTCTCTCCAGTCCCGCCCTGACCCAGGGAAGCGAGAGGCTCCTTGAGGGCTTCTCCAGAACCTTGGCCTCTCCTATCTGAAATATTCTCTGAAGAACCCTTCAAAACCCATCTCAAATAGTCCTTCCTCTGGGAAACATTCCATGATACCTCTCCTGCCACCCTGGGCCCCACCTACCAGAGAGGCTCGAGGGCTTGGGCACCCCTGGGGTGGCTGCTGGGGGCAGATCCGGCTCCCCCAGGATGAAGACAGGCCTCTTGGGGCCCACAGGGCCTGGGCCAGCTCCCTCGTCCTCCGACGAGAAGGCGAACTTGGGCATCGTATCGAGGCTGATGGTGCTCATGAGAGACGGGCTGGGTCCCCGCTCAGGCTGGGAAGAGGATGAGTAGCAGGACGAACCCGAGGATGTCCAGGACCTCAGCCTGAGCAGGAAAGAGTCCAAGTCACACCTGTCAGATGCCCTCGCCCCGGGACACCCAGGCACCCCCAGCCGTCACATCTGACTAGTAACTCTTAGCCCAGAGCCAGAGGCAATTATAAATACAGGGCGAGTTCCCTGTGCCTGCTCCATTCTCTGTGTCGACCTAGAGAACTCCTATTCGTCTTCTCAAACCCAGTTTCCAGTGCCCATCCTCTAGCAGACACTGGTTATTTCTGCTGAGTGTGGATTTTGGAGAATGAAAGGTGTTCTGGGCCGAGGGAACGGTGCAAGCTAAGCCCCGCAGCGGACGGTGCCACATGTTCCGTGCGGTTAGGAATGCAGAGCCAAGGGCAGTGACGCTAGGAGCCAGGTCGGCAGAAGTCTGACAGGTTGGCCAATATGTTTGACCCTTTTCAACGGGGCCACTAGGAAGCTCTTTCCAATGTTAGATTTTGTGGCTCCACCTCCCCTAAGGCTTGGAGGTTGGATGTGCTTATATGCCCCAGCCCACCTACCGGACCTCAGTGCTCAGCTGGCGGCCACACTCGCCTTCGCTGCGTTCCCACCCCTCCTCCCGGTCCTCACTGAAACTCCGCTCAGTGCAGGGCAGGGTGGGCTGCACGGCCAGGAACTCCGAGCTGCTGTAGACCTGGGAAGAAATAAACAGCAGCACTGGAAACGGAGGCAGGAGCCGCATCCGCTTTCTACACGCCCAGCGCCTCCCTGTGACTCACTTTATTAGATCCTTACTCAGCATGGCCCTAAAGATAGCAGAGTCTGGAGCCCCCTGTACCGGGGAGAGACTGAGGCTCAGAGGGACCAGACACCAAGGGGGCCACAGCTGGGGTTTCTGCTGATTATCAGGACAACCTGCCCGGGGCCCAGGCCCACAAGAAGTGCAGAGGAGTTTTTGAGCAAATTATAAACAAAGGAAGGAACTTAAGTTAAGCTTGTGACATTGTAAAATGACACGCAGCCCGGCCGGCGTGGCTCAGGGGTAGAGCGCCAACCGATGAACCAGGAGGTCATGGTTCGATTCCCAGTCAGGGCCCATGCCCGGGTTGTGGGCTCGATTCCCAGTGCGGGGTGTGCAGGAGGCAGCTGATCAGTGATTCTCTCATCACTGATGTTCCTCTCTCATTCTCCCTCTCCTTTCCTCTCTGAACCAATAAATATATGCATATATATTTTTAAATGAATAAATAAAATGATACCCAGCATAGGAGCCCTAGTTACAATATCCAAAAAGTAGAAACAACCCAAATGTCCATCGGCTGATGAAGTAAAAGTACCTTGTGGGCCATCTACATGATGGACGGTTACTCAGCCACGGAAGGACGGAAGCACTGACATGTGCTACCACGTGGCTAAGCCTTGGACACGTCATGCTGAGTGCGAGAGAAGCCACACACAGAAGCCCATACGTGAGTGCATCCGTATGGATCGTCCAGAAGAGGCAAATCCACAGGCAGGAAGCAGACTGGTGGTTGTGAGGGGCTGGAAGGGTGGGCGCAGGGAGTGACGGCTAATGGGGATGGGGCTCCTTTGGGCTAATGGAAATGTTCTGGAACTAGATTGAGTTGATGGTTGCACAGTATTGTACAGGTGCTAAATGTCAGTGCATTGCACACTCTAAAACGGATAAAATGGTATATTTTATCCTAATAAAAAATATGCAAACAAACAAACATCTTGCCATGTTTCCTGAGCACTAGCTATGTCCAGGTCAGCCGGCGCGGTCAGCCAGGACTTAGCCAGGCAGCTTGCTAACTAGTGAACAGCTCCGCAACAGCAGTACGTC